AAAAAAAAAAAAAAAGGGAAAAGTGTAGACATGTTCATAAAAAGAGGTGAGAAAAAATTCTCGTATTTTCCATATAAGCAATTAATAATCCACAGTCGTATTTAAGATTAATAATTCTCCTTTAACAGCGCCGATCTCTTTTTCATGTAAAGGGAAAAAGGAAAATAACATAAACTTTTTTTTTTTTCAATATTTATAATTTTTCAAATAAAAACATAACAAAATTAGCAGTTCACAAGATCCGATCAGATATCATTTCCTTTAATTTTATTCATTCTCTTTCCTCTTCTGTGTATGAATTTGGTCGAGTTATCTCTGAAATTCCAAAATTAGCTTCGGAATTTCGAAAAGTTCTCATCTTTTTCAACATTAGGGTTCCGCAAGCATCAAGTTCCACTCTACAATCTTCGCTTTCGAAAATTTGGGGCTTTCGAATTTTGATTCATGGGTTTCAGAGCAACAGGTGGAATGGGCAAGGTCATGATCTAGGTGACACCTTTGCGGTCTCCAGGTGCATGAGAATTTGGTGCTTTCTGTGCTTCGGAGGCAGCGAAGAAGAAGACGGTGAGAAGCCAAAGGAAGCCATGAAGGAGAGTGCTTTCCGCAATGGCGGTGACGTTGAGGGGAATTTGGGAAATGAAGACGACCGTGAAAATGCTGCCGCTGCTCAATTGACTCTCGCGCTTGACGGGCATGCGTCCGCGGATGACTCGTTGGGGTTTTTTGAAGAGATGATCACGGCGATAAAGCCTTGGGATGATGCTACGTGGCAGCCGCCGTTTCGCTTCTCAAGGCCTGCCGAGGGTGAGAGTAGCAGCTCGGCTTTGGCAGCGGGTACAGAGGATGGTGATCCCGATTCCCATCATAAGCGAGCCAAAGTTTACTCTGGTTCTCAGTGAGTACATTCACTCTCTTGTTATGTTTAATGTATTTTTGCATTTGGCTATCTGCTTTCTATGAAGTGAAATGCGTGAAATGGTGGAATTTCTTTTCAAGGCTTAAATTTTATGTTTTTATTTAATCTGATTACTGAAGCAGGTGTTCCCTGCATTATTGTTCTCTGATACTTATAAGTTATAACCACAAATGGTCCTTGCAGTGAATGTCATTTTGCTACTCCAACATCCCCTGATATGGGCAATTCTAGCCAATCCATTGACACAGGCTACAACATTAGTCGCAGCTCCTCCACCCCGTGGAATAATGGAAAATTTTATCATGTTTTCATCTTGAATAATGGGGGTGATGAGAATCCTTTTGATTCTAATGGCGGGAAAGGTGGTGGAGATGTGAGTGTTGCCTTGACAGTGGATGATTTAGAAGTTCGAATGGATCTGACAGATGATCTAATGCATATGGTAGGGTGTGGTTTTTAAAATTTGCTAGTAAGCCATTTTTCATGTTTGTATTTGAATTTTGTTCATTTCTATTCATCACCTGTTCCTTCTGATTTTCTAGGTTTTCTCCTTCTTGGACCACAGTAATCTTTGTCGAGCTGCTATGGTTTGTAGGCAGTGGCGAGCAGCTAGTGCTCATGAAGATTTCTGGAGGTGTTTGAATTTTGAAAACAGAAATATTTCTCTTGAACAATGTAAGTTTTTCTGAATTTCTTAGTTGTTTAGCACTTTGGCTAATTCTAGGATTTGCTAGAGAAATGTGGGCCATGTAATGATATTATGCTAAAAACATATGCGTACCTTTCAAAGAACTCTAGTAGTGCAATACACATGTATGTTCCTGTTGTCATCTGTTATGTTTGAGGAATTTTCTGGTTTTTTACCCGTCAGTGACAACATTCTAGGATTCTGCATGTTATAGAAACTAGAATGTGTATTCATCCCATTTGCTTGAATGTAAGCAGAGCAGTGAGCTTTGGTTCTTGGATTTTTAATGGTACATATTTTTGCAGGGTTGCTTCTAGACCTGTTGGATGTAATTACTACTGTAGTGTTTTTGAATATTGCCCCTGCTAACTTCTTTAAGTTGATTGTCCAATGGGATTATGGTCAGTGGACATATATACTTCTTTTCAGCCAAGTTTCTTGAGCATGAGAGTTTTGATATTCTTATAGACACGTTTTCTTGTGTTCTGATTTTTTTTGCATGGAATTTCTTTTTGGTGTGGTTTTTATTTATTTATTTATTTTTTGGTTGCTGATTTACAATCTCATTTTCAGTCGAGGACATGTGTCAAAGGTATCCAAATGCCGTTGAAGTGAATATTTCTGGCACTCCGAATTTGCACGTGCTTGTGATGAAAGCAGTGACATCTTTACGGTAATGGGCTCCTTTCATGTTCTGCATTTAAGTTCATAGTGCTTGTAATTGATATGTGTTAATTAATTTTATCATCTGCAGAAATCTTGAGGCTTTGACTTTGGGAAAAGGCCCACTAGGGGATAACTTCTTTCACACCTTGACAGATTGTAATTTCTTGAAGAGTTTGAATGTGAATGATTCGGCCCTTGGTAATGGCCAAGAGATATCCATAAACCATGATCAATTGCATCACCTAAATTTAACAAAATGCCGTGTGATGCGTATATCCATAAGGTGAAACAATTTCTCTTCATTACACCGTGTGAATATTTGCTTTCAATCTAATTGAGTTTTATGCTAAGATATAATCTTTTGCAGGTGTCCACAGCTAAAAGACCTATCTTTGAAACGTAGCAACATGGCACAAGCGGTACTCAACTGTCCTCTTTTGCAACTCCTTGATATAGGTGCTTGCCACAAGCTTTCAGATGCGGCAATTCGTTCAGCAGCAACTTCATGCCCTCAGTTGGATTCTTTAGACATGACGAATTGTTCCTCTGTTAGTGATGAAACGTTGCGTGAAATTGCTCTAACTTGTGCTAGTCTCCGTGTTCTTAATGCTTCATACTGCCCGAACGTATCACTTGAGGTCAGGTTTTGCAAGTGGCTAGTGTTCGTCTTAATAAGTCTATAACCTTTTTGTTTATTTTTTAAAATTATTTCCCATATATACGTTTATCTGATACATTCTTGCATTTTTATGTAGTCTGTACGATTGCCAATGTTAACAGTTCTTAAACTTGATAGCTGTGAGGGTATCACATCAGCCTCAATGGCTGCAATATCTCATAGTTATATGTTGGAGGTATGGCCTTCTTTTTGTACGGATATTATGTGCAGGTCTACTGCCTGTGCTATAAACTTAAAGTTATGACCTGTCTAAACTCTAAACTGATTCAGTTGTCTGTTACAGGTTTTGGAGCTTAATAGCTGTCAGCTATTGACTTCTGTGTCACTTGATCTTCCAAACTTGCAGAATATTCTATTGTTTCATTGTCGAAGGTACATTGCCCTTCCATTTAACAGACAAAATTGCTCCCTCATTTTCTCATCATGGTTTTTTTTTTTTTTT